CCATAAACACTCCTTCGTCCATGTCACGTCTGCTCAGCTCAATTAGTTGGACACACAACCCTTATATCCAAGATCACACACATTCATTCACCAACAATGCATCTAGAAGCCATTCACACAGAAGGTATGGCGTGTTTTCCTTTTGGCCCCCTTGGCTTGAACTACAAACTGTTGGGAGACAGGTGGCCTCCTGGATGGAATACATATAATAAAGGTCATTCGCCATTTTCCATCCCCGACAAGAATCCCCCCTGCATTTGGAGATGACGCTCGAAACAAAGACTCCCTCCAGGTTTCATATTGATGACCAGGCGCTTAACGCGCTGGCCAGGCTACATATGGGTATGATAGAGGCGCTCAGACCCTTTCCGTCAAAATACATGTAACCAAGGCATGCCACTTGCCATCCCCACCTGATTGACATTATCTGCACATAAGCAGACAAGCAGGAGGAAAACAACAAACGAAAAAAACAATGGACCTATGATCTCAGTGTTACACCAATAAACTAAATTAAGTGAAATATATGGGCGTATGCCCAACCCCATAGAGAGGTGGGTTTGGGCATAAGGCCATGGGCTAGAACATTTTAATATTTCCCTACTTCTGGGGTGTGGTCCCACTAGCAAAGAGGATCAGATATAATGCCTGAATCTGGACGAGTTTATGGAGATGTGCAGGAAATCGAGATTGAACTGCTTTTCTGCATCTCTGCATAAAACACATCCAGATTCAGGAGCTCAATCCTATCCATTTTGCTAGTGGGACCTCGGTCCTGGTGCGATCGTGGAGTGTAGGGAGGGCGCCATCATCGCTGCTGACAGAAGTCTGGTTTCTTGTTCACAAAGGTGACACCTTTTTTTTGACTGTTGCAGGCTTTGTGGCAGCATCTGCCATTGTAATATCATTTGAGATCTGATGGATGGGAAGCACGGCTCTGTTTTCTTTGTGGGCATGTGGCCTCTATTCTTTTTGTTTTCGCGGAACTTTTCGGTGCGTTTATAGCAGGCAAGGAAGCCTACCTGTGTACTTCTGTTGACCACTGCACAGACCAACTGTAAGAATAAGGGTCAGGGGCGGGGATGTGCCGGCTTGGGGATTATCATGGGGTCATTCTGGAGTCGCGGGGGGTTAACTTTAACCCATGGTCTCCTAATAATGTGGGCTAGAGGGGTTGTGTGAGGGCAATGTGTGGCCAAGCTGTGCTGGTCATATCTCTGTAGGGCTTGTTTGAGGCTGCAGTGGGTCTTAGAAGAGATCAAAGCAGTGTTGCATAAAGAGGTGACCAATAGACTGACCAAGTTCCGAGCGAAGGGTGTTCGAGACAGCGAAAAAGGGCCGCGCCGGACTACTCACCTCATGCACAAAAGAGCAAACGATGAGATCGGCACGCCGCGCGGCGGTCCCAACACCGCCGGGTGAGGCGCTTAACCTGAGGTCGCCATGCCCAGGGCGTCCTTACCACCAGCGACAACCATTATAACTGTGCTTTGTGGCTATGGAATTTGTTTGACGCGACCGACATCTGCGTCGGTGCCATCTATACGCTATTTGTAACCAATTACATGCTATTTGCAACCAGGAATGGCGTGTCTGGTCTTCAGATCTGGAGCATTATGATAGGCATTTAATATCTGCTGTCTTTGCCGCGTCGCTGTGTGAGAGCTTCTCATCTATTGGCCAGGGGAGTGAGTTTGCCGGAGTATGAAGAAGGCTCTGCCCACCGCCTGCCGTTGGCTTCCCGTACGTCAGACTGTGATGGGCATTCGTACCAGGCCTTTGGCTGGTGACAGGCAGGAGAACCTGATTGTTACATTTGACCACAGAGTGTGCCGTCTTAGGCCAACTGCTGCTGCTTATCTTCGTTGAATGCGATGTAGCCGGGCCCAGAGTCCCATCATCAGAAAAATTCATGAAAATAGACAAGGAACTACTAGAAGAATCCAAACAGCAGTTGCTCAAGCGCTTGTTTGACTGTTTTGCGAGTTTCATAGTGAGCGCGCTGCCAAATCTTTATCGCCGCTTTAGGCGAATACTTTCTCGCCTCTGCTAGACTACTGTGGTAAATTAGGATTAGGAATTGATTGAATCCCTAGTAAGGAATTTCATTGCGGTGTCTTTTTTGGGACAGGGAATTTCTTTGTGGTAGCCTTGGTAACCCTAATTAGGAATTTTGTGGGGCATTACGATTTCAGAATTAATAAAAAAAAACGAATTACGATTGGTTCAGTGGGGTTATTTTTGGTGTTCTAGAGTGAGTATTGGGATTTCCTAGACTTTTTTCCTACGAAATTCGTTGAGGCCTTTTTAGCGTTTTGAAATTAAATTTTCGTTTTGTAGTCCAATCGCTGGCGACTCTAACTAGGGAATTCTTTGAGGCGGATTCTGGCCTTATTGTAGTGAAAGGGAATTTTATAATTTTTTAGATTCCCTTTTTTTTTTTTTTTTTTTTTTTT